CATCCTTGTACACAAAGGCAAGTCCTCCACAATGCCGACAGGGGCAGGGCCTCCCGACGGCAGAGCAGCCAGCTGGGCAGAGTTCATTGAGAGGAATAAATTCTTCCCCTCTCAGCCACGTCTCTGAAAGGCACATCATAGCCAGATTTTCTCTTGTAAAAAGATCATTCAAGTAAAAGGATTTATTCGCAATTGAGCGGGCATTAAGTAAGCCGATATGCATCACTGATGACATCATGGGAGCAGTGTCCACAGGGCACAGCAGGATTGGTCGTAGCATGCCGAAATCCACCCTACGATTTCCAGAGTGCCATAGTGATATTCTTCTTCTTCTCACTACATAGTTCAATGGTTATACTTCTAGTATGTTGTCAGTGTCAACCACAGCTGTCATACATTCTACCACTTTAAAGTTCAAGTTTTTATCCACATAACCATCCAGTTCAAAGTCCATGCCTCTCTCAGTATTGATCCAGGTTTCAGATATTGCAATTATCCTATATGTCAGTGAAAATGTCTGTAAATATTCCTTAATGTTATTGAAGTTGGCATAGAGGCTTCTACGATTAAAATGGATAATTGATAGTCTATCTATCGATTCAACATTATGGTTGTATTGTTCCTGACTGTGGTAGAGCCAATCATTGTCAATGTTGTAGAAAAAAATATCTGGATCTATATTCTGTTTCACATCCTGAGAATTGTGTTCTGTGAATTCAAAAGTTCTCAGTTCCAGCTGACCATGATCATTTATCCTCTGTCAAATGTTTGATATTGTTTCCAGATTAATATGAGTGAGTTCTGTCTGCCATGGTTGTGTGTGGATAGTACCTTAGCTTGGTTCAGGCTGATGATGACAGGACCTATTGAATTTTATCCAGCTCCTCCATGTTTCTGATGACAAGTACTTCTGTCAGCTTAATGAATACTTGACAGTTGATTTCCCCCTATTTCTTCAGGTATCGTGCTTTCCTGCCTACAAACACATTCATTCCTCTGAGATTTCTGCCTTGCTTCAGGAGTGTGATCTTGTGTTTCCTGCTTACAAACCTCATTATGATGGCAGGGTTTCAACTGGGTTTACTTTTGGGCAGAGGGTGGCATGCCTCGATGTTGTCGCAGTTTGACACGATCCCCTTATCCTGCAAGAAGGCAGCCACTTGTTGCTCTGCACTGCAGACATCCAGGTCAGTGGGTTCCCCCTGTTTTTCACGGACGCTGCGTGGGCATATGATCCAGGTTTAATTTGGAGCCCGGTGATGATGACGTTGTTCATCCTCGTATATTGCCCAAGATCCATCACTCTGCTTTCCAGGTGAGCGATTTGTTTGTCTTTCTCACCGTTTTCAGTGTGCAGAGTCCTCACCTCCTGCACAAGTTCCATGATGCTTTTCTGCTGCAACCTAACAGCAGAAACTTCTTCAGATAAAAGTCAAGAGACATTTTTATCTTGTCAGCTACCTCAGCCGACAGTGCTTTTTTCAGCAGCATGAGGATTTGAAGTTGCAAGGTAAAAGACGACGCTCCCACCAACCAACGTTCCAACCTGCCTGGTGGCAGCTATCGGATATGGTAGATAGCTGCTGCTGTCAGCTAGCCTCCTGGGCTGGCCTGGTGGTTCACTGCTTGGTGGTAGTGGCTGCTCCTGGGCTGGCCTGGTAGCTAGCTGCTGCTGCCTGGTGGAGGTGGCTGCTCTTGGGGCTGGCCTGGCTAGGTGCGGCTGGTGGTAGCGCCTCCTAGCTAGGCCTGGTAGGTAGCTGCTGCTGCCAGCTAGCCTCCTGGCCTGGCCTGGTGGCTAGCTGCCTGGTGGTAGTAACTACTCTTGGGGCTGGCCTGGCTAGGTGCTGCTGGCTGGTGGTTGTAGCTCCTCCTGGGGCTGGCCTGGTGGCCAGCCACTGGGCTGGCTTTCCAAACAGATGTAGTGGTTGTGGCTGTGAGGCCTTTGACAACCTGTGCGATTCTAAGTCAGCAACTTTTACAGCGAAAACACACCAGCGACCATCTTGGAAAAAGGTCACTTCAAAGATGAAAAAGACATAAATGTTGTTTGCCGGCCCACATATTGATCACGCCATACTGAAAAACAGAATAAAGAGAATAATACACACAGTTTGGCTTTAAAATAGTCCAACTGACTTCCTTTCTTTGTTTCCTGATATATATTTTTGTTGTCCTGGCACATCACTGATGCTGTAATCTTTGTAAAGCTCGTTTTATCTTTATTCCCCTTACATTTGAAGCATTCGGAACAGAAAAGTTTATCACCATTCATCAGGTACAACAAATGTTAGTCTGCATCTCTCAGTATAAAAAGACAAACTGATGCAAACACAGTAATAACTTAATGGGACAAAGCAGTTATTCAATAAAAGAGAACAACAGCAGCTTCATCAGTCAGTGTTGGGTCTAAAACCTGTAACATTTACCTGATAATATATAAAGAAGAGAAAGACAATGGTATATACTCGAGGAGAATGGACCGAGATAGCTTCAGGTACCATATCGAAACCACTCTGAAAGGTATTTCCGCCCAGTCTCTTTTATTTAGTGTTGTCCCTGGTTACACAATGTTTCTAAAAGGGTGGAGGTAAATGTGCTGCAAAGTAAGCATTTAATAATGAACAATTTGTGAATAGCTGAAGGTCAAGGCGGCATCTAACGAACTCCTTCTGATATGCATGTATCCTTCCCAGAACCTCCCTACGATTCATCCTCGGAGGATACGTCACCCCCACACCCACACCTGCTGATAGGAAAAACACGGTCACAGAAAGAGAAAGAAACTTTGATGTCTGTGTAGTAAAGCTATTGGAGAGAGAAGTTAGGAAACACTCTTATATGATAAAAATACTCTTATATAATGTATAAAAAGATGTCAAAGCAGTTTATACTTGTAGTATAAACTCTTACATAAGAATATGAGGAATAATGATTACTTCTATATACATTTATGCACATTATTCTAACATTTCCCTCCTGTTTATCATTACTTTACTCAAATTCTCATAATCCCTCTAGTTCAGCCACTTCTCTCGATTTTCAGCTGTGAGTTCATGTTTATAACTACAAAGAATTTACACACGGAGGTACAAGATGTTGCTTTAGTCAAAATTATACTCATCATCCAGATTGAGGCACAGGTCAGGCCATTGAGTGTCATCAAGTCTGTCCTCCTCGTCCTGCTGATGGAGCAGCGGGTACAACTCCTGCATCTGCTGCTTCACAGGGGACAACGCTGTGGTGATAAGATGGTTAAGAAGAGAACAAATACAGGGAACACAACAACATCCACACAAGGTCAAAATAGCTGCAAAAACAGCAACAGAGATTAGGACTGAATCTACAAGATTTTTGTATTTTCCAAATACATTCATCCAATCATCCCAAAAGGAGTTATCTATTCCTGAGTGGTCTTTCATTTTGCTGTGAAGCGTTTTTAGGCCCTCTATGGCTTGAGTGAGGCTGCCATCAGCAGCAGTGTTATCAGGAATGAACGTGCAAACATGGCACATACACCTCCTGTTTCTGCCAGCAGCATGTCAAGGGCTATAGGGTTTTGGAAAGCCATCAGGGATGTTGCAGATAACTGCGAGTGACCGGTCCTAAATACCAGCCTCAGTCCAATTACCTAGCTTTTGAACGTTGAAATGGATGTAGTTGATTCTGATTCGATCTATATTTTTGTTCATTGTACACCAAGGACAGACGAGAGACTCAAAGCCTGCAACAACTTGATTTACTAGTTTATACTCATCTGGTACCTCACGAGGAACTATCTATATAAGTCGGGTCTGACTCTGTTTGCTAGTTTCTTTTACTCTGGAGTGGCTCAACAAAGGAATAAGACTAACTGCAGAGGTTAAATTTGCCACACTGGTCTGGAAAGTTACAACAGTTAGGATCAAGGTCACTAAGGCCCTATTATCAGTCTGCTGTCATTCAGGTACAGCTACAGAAAACACATACACTTTTGTTATGGTTAGGGAATTCCTAGTACAGACATAGAAGTTAGACTGATTCTTCATTTTTGCTAGATATTTTACATGTCTGTACCACATGTTCACTTCAAATAAATCTTTTTTTAAACTTTTATTTTATTGAGTGGGAATGCTTCGCAATCCCACTATATTTTATTCATATCTTTATTAATATTATTCTTCCACCATTCTTTTTATATTTTTTATTTTTATTTTGTGATGTACCTTTAATAAACATAAGTATAAGTGTTTATTGACAAAACAAACATACACAAAATCCCATTGTAAACAGAATAACACAAACGCCTAGTAGCAGTTAAGCTATGGTAAAGTTCTCAGTGTTTTCACCACATGAAGCAACTGTGGTGTCCGTCTGGGTGATTTATACCCCTGCTCACTGTCTCTCAGGTTCCCTCTCTGCACATGGTCGCCTTCAGAACAGCTGAATGTGATTTTTGATTGGTTGTCACACAGGATGTGAGGACTATTGTTGTTGTCACTTCTCTTTCCTTCCTTAAGTTCATCTGAAGTTGTTAATAATGTTTTCAGTAGGTAAATTAACAGTATCAAACAAATTTAGATTACAGATGTAATTATCAATCAATTCAAGTAAAATTGGAACAAAACTCTCCAGATTTAATTCATTCAAAGAACAATGTTAACCGTCAAAAACAAAACAAACTTTACATGGTCCATAAATACACCGCAGAAGAAAATAAACTTGTACAGGAATGTTTTACCGTCTTTCTTTCTTTCTTTTTTTTTTTTTATGTGGACAGATATGTGTCTTTGTTGACAGCTGCTAGATAATCTGGTTAAGTGACATCAATACAGGGTGGCTTTAATTTGCTTTCCTTATGCCAGACCTTAACATGTATAATTTGGAGGTTATAGATTGTCACAAAACGTACAATATAATTTTGCTCTATTAACAAAATCAATAGATGGAGTGACAAAGATGGAGTCATGCAGTTCAATGCAATGCAATGTCCTTGTTTTATACAAAAAAATTTAATTTAAAAGGAATGTCCATATTAGAAGAAATTTTCTGGTAATTCAAATGTTTTATTTTAATTCTGCAAAAATAGAGCACAATAAAGAACAAAGGTTTAAATAAAAAGTCACTGTACATTAAGTGCCATGCACGAGCCCAATTAATAGTCAGATGTCAGCCTATTTGGGTGCATTTTGGTCAGAGTAAAAGGGCTTTTGTTTTGTTGAATAAAAAACTTCAAATAAAACATATGCAGAAAAATAACTTAATATACCCAACTTCTCAAGTGGAGATGTACAAACACACAGTTGTCTCATAATTATCTGTTTGTACGATAAGAAGTCATGATATCACTCAGGTGGTATTCATAATGTATTCCATAATGTTAGTATTGCGGCGGAGCTGAGTTTTAATGGGACATTCAAATGCAGGGAGGTGCTCAACAAGCATTTTTAGTAACAATTAAAGAGATACAAGAGTCAAATATGGTTTAGCAGAAGTAAGATACTTAACTTCCCCATTTTCCTAAGCTCCTAAGGAATTCAACACCATCTAATCTTCACTGACATTGAGACGAACGCCCACTATAAGGACGCCCCCCTTTGAAGTCAGACTTTCCTAACTAAAACCCATATAGGTTTTTTTTTTTTTTGCAAATGGGAAAGATGTATCCAACTACTTCTTTGTGCTATTTTTACCGCTGTGGGTGTCATTAGCAGTATCTTTTTTTTTTTTATGCTCCTCCCACTTACTTCAACGTATTCAAAACCATTCAAACTTCAGGAGATTCCATCTTATATTCAAAATTTTCCTAACATTCATACTTTCTGAGATATTCCAGATTTTACAACCAATTTTTTTTCGTTAGAAATACATTATGGAATTTTCAAATTGGCCCTTTTCTCACATTTTCTTTACACAACTTTAAAAGCCTTCAACTCCTCTATACTTCCAGATTATGATCATTTTAATTTTTCAGTTTTAAATCATTTCATTCTTCATTCAGTATTCAATTTTTTCAAACTAATTCCAACTCAATTAAACTGATTTAAACCTTTCTGAATCTTCAAATCTAATCTCTTTCACATAATTTTTAAATAACTTAAACCATTTACAATAGCAGCTTAGCAATTACAATTTTAGCTGGAGCAATCCATCTTACAATTTCTTGAGAAATTGCATTTTCTAGTTATTATTTATTTATTTATTTCATTATTTCATTTACAAAATGAGTTCCATTGTCACTGTAGATTCGTTTTGGAATGCCAAATCAAGAAATTATTTCTCTACGCACAGGAAATAATTCTATCCATTTAGTGAAAGGATCTATTAACACTAAACACCATTTCTTTCTCTCACACTGATTTAATTCTATGAAGTCCATGTGCATGGCTTCAAATGATGCATTGGTTGGTGGAAATTTGCCTCTTTTTGGTTTTATACTGTCTTGAGCATTATGTCTAGCACAAACTGAACAAATCAAATAGTTGATTATTATTTTTTTTTTTTTTAAATAATTTATGAATCAATAGGGGGTAAAGTGTTGATTAACTACTACACTCCTCCCTCCTGTCGAGACATGGCAAGGCCCATGACTCGCTATTACTGCCTTTAAAGCTCTCTCTGTTTGCTGATCTGACAAAAATCTTTTGTTTGGATAACCTAATCTGTGGCAGTTTATGTCCAAGAGCTGTTTTTTTTTTTTTTTGTACTGGAGTCACACAAAAAGGTTACAGGTAAACCATGACTCATTAACTATATCTGCGGATTTACGTCTGCACAATGTATTCCTTCTCCAACAGACTGTTGCAGCTCCGCTGTCGAAGGGACAGATACAGGAAATCTGTCCTGCCACAAGCTATTGCACTGTTAAATAACTCACATATGTCAGACAGGGACTCACACCTGTCTGCTTTATAGTACTTTTTAAAAACTCCTATCACATCAGATTACCAAGCACCTTAAATTGTCTGTATAACTATCATCCCATCTGTAATATTTCGTATTTCATATTTATCACTCATTTCATATTTATTACTCATTTCATATTTATTACTAATTTCAATAGTCCACGTTCTTCATATCTCACTTTTATCTCTTAGGATGATTAGCATATTTAGCCTATATTTATTGTATATACTTAGTATTTTTATTATTTTTAGTCTGCATTGTACTTCTTCTTATATTTAATTTTATTTTGTATTTTCTTTTTGCTGCTGTAACAAGAGAATTTCCCAGTTTGGGATCAATAAAGTATATCTATCTATCTATCTATCTATCACAAACATATATATATTTATTTATCTTCTTCAAGTATAGCACTTCTTCCTCCTCTGTCTCTTCACTGTTCACACTTTCTCTTCATTTCTGTCGAATAACACTTGCTGTCTCTCCCTCTTTTACTCATGCTTGATACTTTTCTTTACAGCTCTTCACCTAGTGACCAAAGCTGTGCAATTCTCTGATGTTGTGGTTCACGACCTTGGTCAGGGTACTATTCTTCACTTCCCAGCTCCTGTGATTCATAAACTTTTGTCAAAACTTCTACTTCCTCTATCGTTTTCTCTATTGAAATTCCTGCCTCTGAACCTGCTTCTTCCTTGTTCTCTCTGTCATAGTCATCAAATGGTTTATCATCTCTCTTATTATCCCATAGTCGTCCTATTTATCTCATATAGTATGAAATTCATTGTCACATTTGGAGTTAATGTTACGTTAAATAGCATTATAGGGAGGGATTTAATTCCAAGTTAGCTTTGGTGTTCTCTGCACTTTACTATGGTTACTTCTTTAAGTTCCAATAAGGTATAATATCAATCAGTTGGTTCAAATGTTTAACAGGGATGCCAGCTGAGGTCAGAAAACCTCTTCTTCTCCAGTGACACGTCTACATGTACAACTTATACTTCATAGACTGTAACAGTTAAGTCACAGTTTTGTCTTTTGATAGCTACATGCTTCTGCATAGGGAGGGATTCTTTGGCTGCTGTGTCTCTGGAGGAGTCAAGGTCGTAACTGGCATGTGATGAATCATTTGTATCAGTCAGTGAAAATCATAAAAGGGGAAATGATAGTGTGCAGCACTAAACATCTCGGGGGAGATCCCTCTGAAGAGGCAGCAGACTCTCTGAATTACCTACACAAATATTTATAGATTACATATTGCACCACAAAGTTTATTGATACAATACATTTGAGTATAGATGTAATACTTTTGTTTTTGTTTCAAGTCATCAATATACCAGATACTTCTCTTATTCACAGGCCTTTATTAAGTGATAAACTACTAAACTGCCTAATATGTTTCATTATGGAAATGTGTGATATGGCATATTTGCTCTCTCTCATTCACTTTAGCTGTAGGTACCACATTTTAGTTTATTTTTATTTGCATTAACCTTTCTTTTCTTTTGTGCCCTCCACAGGGGATGAAGGCTTTCATCTATAAATATGGGTGGCTGATGTGCGGTGAAAATCATTTAGTCAAACAGGTGGATTCATGCTCTGAAGTTTCTATGGGGGCCAGAAGAAAGTTGGCCTGTAGAAAAAGTATTGGGCTCCAGGACAGTGGCTGTGACTCAATTCAGGGTGTGCATACAGCTGAGTGCGCTTCTGTGAGCGGTGTCAGAGACATGTTGCTCGTCGGATCCTGACTCCCTCTGGATTGCAAATGTTGATTAACAGTTGGATTGTCTTTCGAGAAACCACAAAAGCTCTCTAAACGGTCCGTTGATGCATCCACCAATAACCCTGCAGTTGACCAGTTCCAGCCATTTTCCCCTCCACAAAAGCAGCTTTATGATTTTATTTACTTTATGACTTTATTCTCCTAAATTTACAACTTTAATTTCTAAGTTAAATACTCCGATGTAGTTTTGGCAGCTGTCTTATTTCTTATGTTTTTGATTGTGGTAGCAGAGCAGATCAGTTTTTTTTATCTAAAGAGTATAATGTTTGGTTTGCAGGTGCAGAGTTTAGTCAGTTAAAGGGATATTCCGGCGTAAAATTAATTTAGGGTCAAACAGACGTAACACAGAGTTAGACACCCCCTCGAGAGATGAATGTTGCAGACCGCTTGCTTCTTTAGTTTTACCAACTTTAGTAACGACCACAGGATAGCGATACACAGCGGTCTGATGAGCCATCAACAAACTCTACTCAAACTCAACCAAAACGCCACTCTATAGTTACAAATAATGCTCAGAACAGCACCTAACTTCATCAACAGTACATATAGGGTTTTAGCCACAGCACGAGACACCAAACATCTTTTTAGCTTTGCCTAATTTTGTTAGAGAGACTAAACACAACTCATCTACTCTCATCCAGCAGCTGTTTGTTTGTAGCGAGACCTCAGGCCAATCCATTACGGACTGCTGCGGGGTGACGCTTCAAGGAAGACCATTTATGGTCATTCTTCATGGAAATGCAATCAGACCAATACGCTAAGGCAGAAAAACTACCGCATCTGCAATGCAAATTGATTAATTTGGTGATTATTACTTCAAGGAAATGATAAAGAAATTATCATAAATGTTCTTCCTTGAGCTGCGTCACCCCGCTGTAGTCTGTAATGGACTGGCCTGAGATCTCGCTACAAACAAGCGGCTGCTGGAAGAGAGTAGGTGAGTTTTGTTTAGTCTCTTTGCTGGCTTGGTTTGGTGGCTAGTGTTGTGGCTAGGACCCTATATGTTGTTGATGAAGTTAGGTGCTGTTCTAAGCATTATTTGTGGCTATAGAGTGACTTTTTCGTTGAGGTTTGTTTATGGCTCCTCAGACCGCTGTGTATTACTATCCTGCTGTCATAACTAAAGTTGGTATAACTAGAGAAACAAGGGGTGTTTGGCCCTAAATTAATTTTACGCCAGAATATCCCTAAGAGAGCATGCGTTCATGGAGCAAGGCATAAATGCACACTTGAAAAAGGGGCGAGGTGCAGGGTGGTTTTGGGACTGCATTTTAAGCGCGCTCAGAATCGCGAGCCAAATGGGACACACTTAGCGCCGTGTGATGATGTCATGTACCCTTGAAATCCGCACTTCGACGGTGCAGACCCTGAATTGAGACACAGCCAGTGTCACTGGATTATCCAGAGGTCAAAACATTCCTGTATTCACCTCAGTAATAAAAAAACACTGTATGCCCCACAGACCAGCTGATTTCTTTCTTCTCAGATTGGATGAAGTTGCTCAAAGCAGTGGCTTAGTATCTGAGACTGAAAAAAGTTTTGATCTTCACCATCAGAAAGCAAAAAGAGCCCGCCCCAGGTCATATAACTACCTGCTCATCTATCAAAAAAATTAGCACTGGAATTGACAACTTCAGGAGTTCACTGGGTGGACAACTCCTTTCAGTGGAGATTGTCTCTCAGGCAGAAAGGTCAGTCATCTCCTTTGTGCAGGGACAACCATTCCCAGGTGAAATAGAAATGATTTCAGAAATCCCAGACATTTTTTTTAAAGGCAGCAGACGGCAAGCTTGACCCTTTACTTGATGATGGCATCATCAGAGTAGGTGGAGGGCTTCATAGATCATTTTGGTCCCTTTGAAGTGAGGCGAGGAAGAAAAACCATTGAAAGGTATGGAGTCCTGTTCACCTGACTTCCCAATAGAGAAGCACACCTGGAGGTAGCTCATTTTTTCAAACACATCACATCTGATAATGATAGAGCTCAAAAAAGCCCTGAACTCCCTTCAATGTGGTAAAATACAAGATGCAGAGCTGTAATCCACCAGCTGCGTCACTCTATGGCAGAGCCTGGGAAAGACTTATAAGATCTATCAACTCTCCTGAACTCCACTGTCCATCAGCAAACCATTGATGATGAAGGTTTTTAAACTGTTTTTTTGTGAGGTAGAGTCCATCTTTAACAACAACCGCCCCTTTTGCACAGTGTCCTCTGATCCCTATGACTTGGAGCCATTAACTCCAAATCACATCCTCCTGCTAATAACACAACCTGTCATGGCCCCTGTTACCTTTCTGAAATCTGACCTCTATGCACGGTGTCGCTGAAAACAGGTCCAGAACATGGCTGACTTCTGCTGGCACAGATGCTGCCTCAGAAATACAGGAGTGGACTAAAGTAAAAAAGGAACTTCACTGTTGGAGACATTGTCCTGGTAGTTGACCCCACAGCTCCTCAAGGATCATTGCCTCTGGGAAGAGTGTTTGGAGACCAAGTCTAATAAAAGAGGTTCGGTCCATTCAGTGCAGATCAATCTAATCAAATCAGATCAAACCAAAATCTCCATCCTTTATAGACCAGTACCAAACTGTGCTGCATCCTGTTGAATGGATAACTTCATTCTTTAAAAGAAAAAGAAAAAGAGAGAACATCTTAAAGGGGACCTGCCACCAAAATTTCATACCCATTTTTATCATTTTATCATGTCCTCTGATCATGTTTGCAACATAATTTTAGCTGAAAAGTTATTTGATGGTTTGTTTTAGTATGCCTAAAAAACCTTACAGGAAAACCAACTGGTTTTGGCTCATGAACATTTATGGTAATGAGCTTTGCTCTGATTGGATCGCTGCTGTGAAGCCTGCTGTGCTCTGATTGGCTCAGCAGTGGAGGTTCGGATTTCGGTTTATCCATTGTTATTATGCTAATGCTAATAGTATATGCTAATGTGTGCTAAAGTAAGGTGCCCAGATGTCTGTAATGATATCCGGGGATATTCGATGCGGCGGCGACGGCGGTGCAGGGGCTGCGTGATCACAGACAAAGTCTCGGTACTATTTAGTAGCAGCGCATGCCCCTTGTAATAACCCCGTAAGAACTGTTGTTCAGGACTGCTAACTTGTGCTTCCTACCTATTCGGCTACTGTAATAACCATTGTTCGAGCCCACACGCAACATTTTTGCTCTCATTCATGAAACGCTTAAATCGGGGACATTTTCGGGGACAGCTTTTGCCGGGGACAGGTCATCCAATACGGGGACTGTCCCCGGAAATCGGGGACGTCTGGTCACCTTATGCTAAAGGCTAAAAACGGCAGGTATTAAACCATATATTTTAGACCCCGAGTCCGAAGAGGAGGTGGAAGTTGAGGAAGAAGCCGGAGATCTCAAGCGGTGTTTTCTCATTCATTCTGCCCAGCTTTAAGTTCATTTTCCCGGCAGTGAACCGAAGGAAACACCGGTCGTTTGGAAGAGACCCATAGCGGATACAGTGGTAGCTGGGTCTCGCTCTGGCTGTGACTGAGTACGAGAACGAGAGAGTGGGCATGGCTCACCGAGGACGCGCTCGTGAATAATAATGAGCAAGGTCAGCGCAACGTAACACCGACCTGCTTTTTCAATTGGCCTGGTTTACTCGTTCCTTTATTTTAAACCTTTACAGAATGCAAACGACGTAACGGTTTGTTTTCACATTTACAACATAAGACGAACATAATATGGACCTTAACTGACACAAAAAAAACCACAAATTACATTTTTATGGCAGGTCCCCTTTAAGGATGTAATATACCTAACTTGCTAACAGCACTGACACATGTATGAGAAATTTATGGCTTTCATGTATAAATATATATATATATATATATATATATATATATATATATATATATATATATATATCAGAAATGAAACCATTGTGATGTTGTATTCAATATAAACTAATTAAAACAAAGTTCCACAGAATAAATGTAGTGTCTTTGGAAATATGTTGCTAAATTTTACACAATATACTCTCAAGACTCCAGAGTATAAGCCAGGGTTTTATATGCATTGGATGTCATACTGAGTTGTACTCTGATAAAAAGACTTAAAAGAGAAAATTTACAGTGCATAATAATAATAATATGATTAAGCCAGAGTAAAACTGAGACCAAGGACTGAGACCAAGGAGAAACCAGGTCACTGTAATCTCTTTGTCACTCTTGGTCTTTATTACATATCAGTTCATAAATGCAGCAGTTTGGCTGTAAAGATTCCACATAGGAGTACAGTTTCCCAAACACAAAAACAGTTTTCTAGCCTGAAATACCATCAACTGGCTTCCTGTGCCGTCATGCAGAGACACTCATGCTTTTTACATTTCTACATGACATTGTCTGTAACGACATATTTACTGAGAACATGAAACAATCACTAATATATTAACAGACACTCATTTATTTTGTCTTTTGCAGCTTTAGCTATACTGTTCAATAGAAAAGGCTCCTGAGTCGCTGGACTTCATGATGGTCTCATCATGTCTGAGGGACAGCTGTGAGCGATACAACCCATCTCCAGCAGAATGAAGCGGACTGTCCGACACCTACAGATGACAGAGGAAGAGTTATTTATAATAACTCGGTCACAAACTTTTGCCTCATTTTGAATCAAGAATGACTACAGCTTTGCAGTTTTCCTGTGGATTAACAGCTGATATGGAGTAGTAGAGTTCATTAATCAAAAGTGTTGCTGTTAAACCTGTAAAGAAGTCTAACTGAACACAGCTCACAGCCTCAGGAGTTTGCAGTCTTTGAGATGATCCCATTTAGAGGACTATATACCATCTGATAGGCATGAGAGTTGAAGTTGTGACTGACACATCACAGTCATGACTACCTGACAAACTACTAAAACAGCCACAGTAGCAGCTGTTTAAGTCCCTGAGTAGCAGGGGCTTCTCTCAGCCCCTGGACTCTTTTGGAGTCCAGATTGTATTAGATCAGGTTAAACTTTTTGATACTTTACCTCTTCAAATTTCTTGGCCTTGTACTGCTCAGCTCCTTTCAAGAAATTCAGCAGTATGATGTCGCACAGCACTGTGCCCTGAAAAACAACAACAGTGATAACAATAGCACATTTATCTCTCTGGGTGACAAATGTACTGACTGAGGCTTTTTTTGTGTAAAAACCCCTTTGATACATGTATTTATTCATGCCTTTTTTATGACCAGAAACAGATGTTGTACTGTTTTTCCCAAATACAGCTGACTCCCTTTCAATGAAAACACCCATTTTAACTCAAAAACACAGGAACTCTTCATCCCCTTCTGCCTTCATCAGTCTGTTTCCGTGTTTGACACTGGTGTAGAAATACTAACACAGAAAGAACTAACGCTATCACTCTATCAAACTGACGAAAAATCTCATGAAAGATCCCAAACTCCCTGTGCAATAACAACCTGTTTAAAGTCAAATAAGGAAAGATAATATTTCAAAGAGTTTGAGAAACAACTGTGCTGTTCACTTAAGTTGTTGGTGCTCGGAATTTTCATCAAAACTAGCTTTTAAGTGTTAAATGTCTGGTTTGAAATCCACTCATTGAGCTGTGGAGAGATGGCTGAGAGATGTGAAGCTGTGACTTCATTGGGCCTCAAGTCGGTTAAAACCAGGGATAGCCCCACTGGCTGAAAACAGGACAAATATTGATTGACAGCTCACTGGTACAGAACTCACTTTGGCTTAAATATGTGTGCGTAAAACTCACCACTCCTACTGATGTGAAGGCTGCCACCATGTTGATGAGTGTAGGAATCATGTTAAACTTCCCTGCCTACAAAGACAGAACAATGTTTTTTTTGTTTTTTTCTTATCCCAAAAAAGGAAAACATCACTAAAACTGTAGCACGTCTTTGCTGTCAAAGCTCCTGTACCTGTCATATCAATCTAAAGTCTGTTATGAACACGATTGAGGGAAAACCAGTTACATGAAATGTATTCACATTTCTTTAAGACCTCTGGTGAAGCTCAACTGGATGAGAATACTATCACACCTAAAAGAAGATGTAATGTGATGCATGATTCAGTCAGCTATCAAACATCCTTCTGCTATTATATGTACGGAACAGTTCTTTTTTCAAGAACACACACGACATAAAACTCATGAATGGACCAGGTCACAGTCTGTAATATTGACTCATATCAGGATTCTCTTACGTTTCCATTGACCAGGACATCAAATCGTATGGCATAGGCTTTGACCAGAGTTCTGTAGTCTGTCCCATTCTCCGTCTTGTAGTACTTGGCAAACCTGGACACAGAATTTTCAAACAGTCTTTTTCTTCCATAAAACTTTTGAGCTTATGAAGCAAATCAGACAGGAACATAAACAGTAACCTCTAAACTGAAGGCAAATGACTGTGAGGCATCACGTTATCTTCAGGGGTGATCAATGATCCTTTTCTGCGCAATACGGTGATTATTGTTTGTTGTAATCTGGTGAGATTTCTATAGTTTGTGTGTCTGATTGAGGAAAATACCACGACAGAAACTGTCATCAAGTCCATAAGAATAAGAACTGGAAAATGCAGTTTCTGAAGAAATTGCAAGTCGGATAGCCCCGATTGAAATTGCTGACGCTAAACTGCAATTGCAAATGGCTGTATGTAAAAAATATGTAAGATAGGAAGATAAGAAGGTTTGAAGTATCAGGAAGGTTTGAATCAATTTGAATAAATTGAATAAATTCATTAAATAATGTATAAATAATGAAAAAATCTTAACATGTAGAAAATTAAAATCATTAAAAATCATAAAGTATGAGTAAGGTTTTAAGTATTAGAAAGGTTTGAATCAGTCTGAGTTTAAATTTGTTTGAAGGAGAATTGAATAATGCATTTATAATGAGAGTGATTTTAAAGTGGGGAAAATTTAAATGAATAAAAATCCTGAAGACACCACATAATGTCTTAAATGAGCTGAATTTTTGAAGCCCTGGACAGTTTCTGTAGCTCAAAGTTTGTGTGGAGATAGGGGCTGAAGTTTGTCAAGTGCTCTAGTGAAAGGTTTTAAATGTAACCCCCAGTGCTTTGTGTGCTGAGCCTGGATTCATGTGTCTCATATGGCCATTAGAAGCAGCTTTCCAGTCAGCTGTGTGTCTCCATGACACACAATTTGTTGCCATGAGGGAGGTAGATGCATCACTACAGTAGGAGAAATGAGGCTTGAAGCTGAGAAAGTAGTGGTAGTCTTGTGTGTGCATATATGTCTTAAAGAAAGAGACTCAAGCACACACATGGTCAAAGTGTGTGCATGTACGTAGGTCTCATAGACAGAAAGAGACTCACGCACACACATAGTTACTGTGTGTACATGCAGGTCACACAGACAGAGAAAGACCAGCGCACACACACACTGACCATGTGTGCATGTGTGTCTTGTTAATTAATGCATTCTAAACAGCTGTTAGAGATCAAAGGGACCAACTGACCAACTGTTTTCATGAGAAGCTGCCTAACCCCAATGAAACTAAACCCTCTTAACTTCTCCATATGGCTTAATTTTCTTAATCCTACCATGAAAATAAGAACATAGGAACATCAGTCTTAGGAATCCTAAGAGCCTCATTAACACAATGATGTGTGTTCCATGTTTGTACTCTGAAAAATGTGGCCACAACAGCGAGGTAAAAAGTGTAGACCCTTAGTGGCCATCAGGATTTTATAGACAAAAGATAACATTACAGTCAATGGGCAGAATCTTTGCCCTGCTTGGACAGTTGGTCACCTGCTGGCCAAGAAGTACAATTTAATGATTTGACACCTCTTCAGTGAGAAGCAGGACTAATTTACCTCCATTTTGATGCATTTTTTATGGCTGTGGAGTGAAATTTGGGGGGTGAGAGAGATATATTTAGGCTATGGGTTAGAGACAGAATTTCACTATTTGGTACACCTCAGGGTGGCAAAGGTTCATCATGATTTTTTGGAAAGATACATGTCTGTAGATTATATTTTTGTATGATAACCTTTCCAGGTGCCCAGCTAAATATTGTTTATCAGCTCATGAAGTTAACCACCCTTTAAGATAAATTAGATTTTTTTTTACACTGGTGTATCTGGTTTAGGCTCACTGCAAGGACATTTCTCCAAGGTTTACAATAGAATGTTTGGTATCATTTTAAAGGGGACCCTTGTGGATTTCATTAAAGCCCATATGTGTTCACCTTAGACCAACATAGAAGTCACTAGAGCTCTTCAAAACACAAAAAATGCAAATTTTTCTGCAATTTTTGCCTACATGATATACTTTCTTTTGGCCATATGTCACCCAGGGGCATCAGGGATACAAGATTTACAAACTGCAATACTCTTGGGACTTATAAGATTCAGAAAATGTGTAACATACCCATACTATCTCTTTGTGGGAGGTGACTATGAGGAGTTTTGAGAAGTCATAGGTTTAGGCGAGAACCGTGGGGGGATCTCCCATCAGGGATGTTAGTCAGGACAGAAAATTGAAAAAGCCCCTGCAAATGCATTTATTCTGTATGATTTTTTTGTGTTGAATCCATTTCTGCCAGTTGCTCAGCTGTAAAAGTTACTGTTTAGTCATAATTATTGATTAATTAGTGTAATTACTGATATATATCGCCCAACGTTAGAAATGGCTATCAGTTTCCTATTTGTTAAGAATTGATATATGATTATTTGGTATCATTGTAAAGAGGGCCATGTAGCCTTTCATTTAAGCCCATGGTTGTATCTTTCTGAAAAACACAGGTCACATGACCTCTCTAAACCATAAATTACACACATTTTCCCACCGTTTTCGCCCTAAACTATATAGTTTCTTTTATCTCTATGGGATCAAGGGATATCAAGGACCCCAAAGCCAACAATCTCAATATTAAATGGACTTTGAGGATTCAGGAAATGTATGATATTCTATTTCTTTGTGAGAGGCCTTAAAATAGCGGTAACCGGCTCAGGCCCATTCACCTCCATTCATTCTTTGGACCAGCACTACGCAAAAAATCCCCACACCAATTGTTTAGATGTAATGATATTATTACTAATACTAATTCAGTAATAATCAAAGACCAGGTAGACATTTTTCACCCTTTTAATCAATCCGTAAAATTCACTGAACATGGCAACTAATTACAAATATGAATAGTAATGACTGAATCAAAACAGCATTACAATTCTTTGTGATCAGATTTTTTTTCCCTTCAGTGCATTAAATATTCATGCAAAGGTCACTTGACTTTTGGCACTGACAAGATGTAGTGAATGGGTTTGGCTGACAGCCATATTGGGCTGTCCTGCATCCAGTTGTGTAGCCAAGGGTTAACTAGCTCCTCACAGGCATCTTAGACTGGGCTATAACTTCAGAATCATGTGACTCTGTAGGTATATTTGAGGAAAAGTGGGCAACCAGCATTCCCAAACAAGAATCCACTGGTTGCCCTTCAAATAAGGCCCTTGGTTTTCTATATTTCCTTCTCCAGGTTAACCCCCCTCCCCGTGGTAAATTGGATGTTAGCCGCTGTTGCCTATCCTGGTTTAGACTCATAGTTAGGGCACCTCCCAATGTTTAATAATATTGTGTTTGGTGTCATTTTAAAGGGAACATTTGGAGCATTCATTCAAATCGAATTACGAACCTTTCTGAAATACATGGAGGTCACTAGAGCTCCTTAAACCACAAACAACATACACTGCTCAAAAATTAAAAGGATGACTTAAACAACACAATATAACTCCAAGTCAATCACACTTCTGTGAAATGCAACCAGTTAAGAAGCAAGCTGTTTGTGAATCAGTTTCAACTGCTGCTGTGCAAATGGAACAGACAACAGGTGGAAAGAGAGGCAATTAACAAGACAACCTCTATAAAGGAGTGGTACTGCAGGTGGTGACCAGAGACCAGTTCTCTGTTGTCATCTTTTCTGGATGATGTTTTGGTCACTTTAGCATTTTGTCAGCGCTCTCACCCCTAGAGAAAGCATGAGGCAGTGTCTACAACCCACAGAAGTTGCTCATGTAGGATGGCACATCAATGCGAGCTGTGGCAAGAAGGTTTGCTGTGTATGTCAGCACAGTGTCCAGTGCATGGAGGAGATACCAGGAAACAGGCCAGTACTCAAGGAGACAAGCAGGGGGCAACAATCAAGCAGCACGACCGCTACTGCCTCCTTTGTGCAAGGAAGAACAGGTGGAGCACAGCCAGAGCCCTGGAAAATAACCTCCACCAGGCCACTAAAATTATGTTTCTGCTCAAACTGTCAGAAACAGACTCCATGAGGTCGGTATTAGGGCCTGTTGTCCACAAGTGGGGCTTGTGCTTACAGCCCAACACCGTGCAGGGCGATAGGCATTTGCCAGAGAACACCAAGACTGGCAGATTCGTGATCTATCGGTGCACCATGCTCTTTACGGATGAGAGCAGGTTAACACTGAGCGTGTGTGACAGATGAGACAGAGTCTTGAGATGCCCCCACGGTTCCCTGCAGAACCAAAATTCTCGCCTCTGACTTCTCAAAACTCCTCACAGTCACCTCCCACAAAGAGATAGTATGGGTATGTTACACATTTTTCTGAATCGTATAAGTCCCGGGAGTATTGCAGTTTGTAAATCTTGTATCCCTGATGTCCCTGGGTGACATATGGCCAAAAGAAAGTATATCATGTAGGCAAAAATTGCAGAAAAATTTGCATTTTTTGTGTTTTGAAGAGCTCTAGTGACTTCTATGTTGGTCTAAGGTGAACACATATGGGCTTTAATGAAATCCACAAGGGTCCCCTTTAAAATGATACCAAACATTCTATTGTAAACCTTGGAGAAATGTCCCTGCAGTGAGCCTAAACCAGATATACACCAGTGAAAAAAAATCTAATTTATCTTAAACGGTGGTTAACTTCATGAGCTGATAAACAATATTTAGCTGGGCACCTGGAAAGGTTATCATACAAAAATATAATCTACAGACATATATCTTTCCAAAAATCATGATGAACCTTTGCCACCCTGAGGTGTACCAAATATCTGTCGGGCCCATGCACTAATTCGAGCTAGGTTTTGTCGATCAAGGATGATCCTCTCACTCTAGCAATGATGTCACTCACTCTAGCTGCCAACACTCCATGCAGCACACACTAATGTTAAAACCTGAAGAGGTCAGAAATTCTCATGACATTTGAACACTTACTGTGAGAAAAGTATGAAAGTGATGAAGGTCGTGAATGAATGTGAGAATAGGTGATGATTTGTGAATGCTTTAAAGTTTGAACACAGTTTTTAAGTAAAAGTATGAAGGAATGAGAAGAGGTTGAAGTTGAATACATCTGAAGCCTTTTCTCATTGACTCCATGCATTTCTAATGGAAGAAATCAGTTGGAAAACTGGGAATACCTCGCCAAGTATGAAGGTTAAGAAAATTCTGAATACAATCCCAAATGTCTGAATTGGGATGAATATTTTAAAGTTTGAATGGTTTGAAATACAGTACAGGCCAAAAATTTGGACACACCTTCTCATTCAATGTCTTTTCTTTATTTTTTATATGACTATTTACATTGTAGAATATCACTGAAGGCATCAAAACTATGAATGAACACGTGGAATTTTGTACTTTAAAAAAAGTGCGAAATAACTGAAAACATGTTTTATATTCTAGTTTCTTTAAAATAGTCACCCTTTGCTCTTGATGACAGAAGTACTTAGTCACAATGTAACCCTGACAAGGCACACCTGTGAAGTAAAAACTATTTCAGGTGACTACTACAACTCATGAAGCTCATTGAGTGAACAGCAAAGGTTTGCAATGATATCAAAAAAGCAAAGGGTGGCTACTTTGAGGAATCTAAAATACAATACAAATACATGTTTTCAATTATTTCACACTTTTTTTCTTAAGCACATGATTCCACTTGGGTGCATTCATAGTTTTGATGCTTTCACTGAGAATCTACAATTTAAATAGTAATGAGAACAAAAAAAAGTATTGAATGAGAAGGTGTGTCCAAAATTTTGGCCTGTACTGTATGAAAGGAGAGGGCCTAAAATGGGTGGAAGAAGAAGAAGAAGAAGAAGAAGAAGAAGAAGAAGAAGAAGAATTTTGAAGATATGGATAACATGTAGTAGGAATGCTTTGCAATCCCACTTAATAAGAAGAACTTTATTTATCCCTGAAAGTAAATTCAATTAGGTTATAAGGTTATTAGTTCTATTGTGAGCTCTGCTAATGGCAATTGATAGTTCAGTCAAGTTAGTACATACCTAAAGTTATAGCCAGGTGACACAGCATTCTTCTGAGACATGGCATCAAGGCGGGTGAAGGAGTAGGAGGGGTTACATTCATCATCTGATTTGTCCAGATCACATATCCAGCCGATCTTTATTCCAATCACTCCACCCTAACAGCGTTTTTGAAATGAGCCAGATTTTAAGGAATATTGTGTTAATATGCAGATGATGGAGTGATATATTTGTTCTACAAAACAAACAGGACTTACATTTTCAGTAATGTATAGTTTCAAATATAAGATATTCAAGTATTCAAGCGGTGCCCACCACCCCCAGGAGACTTTAAAAATGTGTTTAATGTCTGACACTCTCTCATACTTGACATTGTTATCATCAATTTTAAGACACATCAAAGACATGATCACAGACATGTGTCATGATGTCTAATCATAGAAAAAGATGACTGCCCACAATGAGTTACACAAGCAGAGTCTGCCTAATGACCAACACGAGAGAAGGGCCAAGATTCTAGCAAAACTCTTGATTTCACACACACATTGGAAAATCATCTGCATAATGGAAATCTCTAAAAAATTAGTTGTTATTGAAAATAAAGGAAAGTGACAAGGATTGACACAAATAGGAGTGACAGAACTAAAGGACCTTGAGGTTATTGACAACTCAACCTTGGATCCACCTGTTGTCACTGTCCAGCGGTGGAAGATTGTGAAAGACACCAACTCTTTGTCATTTCCAGTTTTTCCAAAATAACTGTGATGCGGGGGGAGGGGGGGTGTCTAAAAAAGGTAATGGTAAGAAAAAGTGACTTTCCAAATGTTTGTTGGATGGAAGTCTGATCAATTGTTTCTGATGCATTTCCAGTAGGATAGGGATTGCATCTGCTCATGGGATCATACAACAAAGCATCAGGCAGATTGGTCATTAAGGAGGAAATGTTTCAGGCAGATATCTGCTTGTAGAGAAGTTGGAATGTCTCCATGGTGAATGTTGAGTCCTTCTTCAGTAGAAATCCAAGGAAAAAAAATATGACAAACAGAAAATTTGCATGACTTCCAGCACTCTCTGGATGAGGACTGAAAGGTTCAGTTTGGATCGTTGAAGAACCAGTTAGCTTCTCAGGAAGATGTCCAAAGCTGTGTGATTGGACTTCCTAGTACTTAAAGACCATAATTTCATCTTCCCTGCAGATTTCTTTTAACCACATGACTCAGAAACCCTTTAGGAACATCTTGACCTTACCTTGTTAGCCAGTATGTTGAAGTTCTGCTGTGCATATCGAACTACATCTCCAACTCTGAAGATGGGACAGTACGTGTTGTTGACCAAGTCAAAGTTACATTTCTTGATGTAAGAGTCAGTGATGGTCGGGAGGAAGTTCCCTCTGCACAAAGACAGGCATATCTTTAGCTAGTCACTATACAGCACCATTATCACCAGGTTAACAATCAAAATAGTCATACTTCGTGTAGTTGAAGGTCGGGAAGCGGATGCTGTTCTTAATGAAAATAGTGAAATTCTCCACTTCCATCATTGGCGAACTGCGAGAAACAGTAAAGAACTGAAGATGTCAAAAAGAACAAATTGACCATGTTTTAAGAGTGTGTTTGAGGCTGCATAACTTTTTTTCAGTTTTATCAAACCCCTCAGAACCAACACTCAGTGTAACTTTACCATTAAACCCAATTCTGTCAACCATTAAGGATCTCTACAGAGAAAGCCATTTTGTTGTGAAGGTACATGTCTATATCTTAACCAAGCCTGGAGCCAGTATACAGCTCCTTTCAAAGGTACCAGCCTCTACTGACAAAGACTGCAATTTCACCACAGAGAGGTTCGGGACCTGTTTGCTGGTTTTTGATATTGCGAGTCTAAGGGGTTATATGGCAACATCAGAGACAACACATTTTTACATTTAAATACAGTAAAATAAATCAACCATCAAAGCATTTTAAAGAGGGTAAATTATCTAGTTATATTTGGTGGTATGGCTGTTCAAGAGCTCCCTGACCTTCAACAAAAATACATGGAATATCAAAGCCTGAGGCAAATAGTATAATCAGCTGATGTAATGCAGATTGAGTCTGGCTTTGTGGCCTGCTTTAGCTTGTACTGTGCTCTATTTACAATACTAACTAAGTTGCACAGCCTCCCTACAAAGTTTTGCCATTAGTGTAAAATATTCTCCATCTGGCCTTGGGCAACTGTTAGCCATACTGCCCAACACTGCTCCCATAATCTCTGGTGGTATTGCAAAATTATGTCAATACATATAAGCCTCCAAAAAAAGATGCATAAATACAGAAGAGAAAAATAAGCAAAATACCTATGTGTCTGTATATGAATCAGCTGTGGAGCCTAAACTAGCCTACAGTGAATCAGTCTCAAACACATCAAAAACAGGGCTTAGATATGAAAGAAGTGGCTTTCCAACAAGCATTGCTCTAATAGAGTCAAGTCTTTTTACTGAACTGTGAATCATAACTCTATTTTCTGTCCGAGTATTGGGTCAGTATCCTGTATCATTGCAGGGGCTTTAAAAGGCATCTGCATCAATTCATGCAGCTTATCATCTTACGTCGTAATGGTGTCGATCTCAGCAGGACACCATCCTTGTATCTCACACATCATGAGGGAGGAGTTGAAATGAACGCACCTCCCTGTTGGAATTCCTGAACAGGAAAAAAAAAAAAAAAAAGTTGTGCACACGAGAAAGGCATTACATATACATATAGATCACACAGACTTGGACACTTAGACATAAATACCAGTCCATACTTTTCAATTGACAGTTTATGTGCAGAAGCATAACTAGAGATATGATGAAACAGACATAAGAGAGGAGGTTGAAAACAGAGATAGCTCACCATTACTCCCCGGTTTGTTAAGGAACTTGGTGCAGTCACTGTCGTGAGTGCAATTATACTTGGTTTCAGACTGGGGAACACAAACAATGACAATCACACACTTGGTAATAATTCTGACAAGAGCACTCTCTGTGGAGATGACACTGTATTCATGTGTGACTTCAGTGGCATGTATGTTCATTTAATACAACAGACTGTACAGTCTTTTTTTTTTTCACTTTAGGACACACTGGAATCCCACCCTGGGTTTAAAGGCCACTGTCACAACACCAAAAGAAAGACCCAGATCTGAATCATGAATTCAAGCTGGTTTTGCAGAGTGCACTTTACTTCGGTGACAAAAGTCCTGCAGCATTTGGTTTAATATGCTATGACTACTCAAGCTTAGCCCTGATTGCATCTGTTTCGTTCATTCTGATAATGATACAAATCATATATTATTATCAAAGTTCTTGTGAGAACTGGTTATGACACAGACTGAAACTGAGACTGAACCAGCGAAGTAGCTTATTTTACATCTTCTTTAACAAAGATTTGCTATGAGAAATATATCTGCTGATTGAAAGAGAGAAGGACCAAACTAAACAAGCCAAAACAAGCTCTGTTTTGATCACAGGAGGCACCAAAACCAAACCGAAACAGCGAACCGAAAGTTAATCACAGCAACTTTAGATGAATCCTTTCTGCCTTTCACACCAAATTTTGTGTACACCTCTGGCAATAAAAACTGTGTTTTGTCCATTTTCAGTTTAAAAAAAAAAAAATCCATTAAGCATGAGGACTCACAGCACTATCAGAAATTGAACTGACAGTAAAATGTGAAAAAAACAATACAGATATCTGTTATCTTTGGAAGAAACAATGATAAAGTATAAATTATTCTCCTAACTTTTATGCTATAACATTCAGGTGCTCCTGTTTGATGTCAAGCTTGCGTCTGCCATATACGGTGGGAAGTAGTTGAAATTATCGAGGTATAAATGACTGTGAAAACTAATTACAGAAGTAAAAGCAGCGGACCTCAGGACAGTATCCTTGGAACTGGTTCTCTGTTGTGATCATTTTGGTGATTATGCAGAAGACTGAGGCTCCCTGTTGGGAAAAGAATGCAATATTTGAGTGTATGCAGATAACACAGTTATTTCCACAGGTGAACCACGAAACCTGTGAAATATTCAAATTCTTTGATAGGGTTACTCTTGCCGCACACATGAAAAAACTGTCCGAGATCAGATTTTGTAAACAGTTGTCACTACTTCCTACTTTTTATTAATCCAAATGTTAATCTGTTCCTGTTGGTGTATCTATATTTTGTCTGTTGTAACTTTGCTTTGCCATAGCAGTTTTCATGTCATCTCTTCTTTAAAGGTTCAACACTAATTCTCTCATTCAGAAAAATCTATGCTCAGATCTTGTTTTCCAGAGGCCTCTGCACATACATTGTTTTTACACTGGTGACACCGACCTTCTAACAAAACCAGCAACAAGCAACAAGAGCTACCACATAAGAGGGGCATAACAGTGCACTACATGTGTGAATTTCCTAGTTTGGGATCAAAAAAGTATACCTATCTATCTGTCTAAACAAACTGTGATGTTTAGTGTAAATCTGCATTGTTGCCAGCCTGTGAACCAATCAAGTAGATAAGACAGTGAGAAATCAGGTACATTAATCAATAAATGATTAAAACTGGATTTACCTGTGTAGGTGTTACATAGTCTGCAACATCCATCACTCTGTTGTTATAGACCCCAAAACCTTTGACCTTGGTCATCACAGAGGATTCGATTGCTGTGTCTCTGATCTGATAAGCCTTCTCATAAAGAAACACCCACCTGAAATACACCAGAGGCACAAACACGTACAAGCTATTCAGTCAAGTTTCTGGTCTGCATGTCTGTGTAATGGAGGTACTGTAATTTTAACTGAATAGCAACATCTGTCAGAGAAAGGCTTAAAATCAATGTCAAATACATTTTTCACAGAGACACACAAAACACCAATGTGTGATCTTATCATTTATTACAGATCTCAAGCACACCAGACTTAACACACCAGAGTTGGTAAATTCGTTGTAGGCAACCTTTGGTTTTCAAAAGTTTAAACCAATAGAAAAAAATAAATGAATAAATACAGTTCCACATATATCCACTAGGTGGCTGGCTCATAAAGCTCAGGAAAGCCTGCCTGGTTCTATATCAAAACACCTATTTATCACAGGCTGATGCAAAAAAAAAAAAAAAAAATAATACATTTGGGGTTTTATTTATTTATTTATTTATTTATGTATTTATTAAGAGGTACTTAATAACATGTGAAATATGTATAAATATGTTGACATGGCGTCAAGTAATTCACCTATTTTTATTATTATAACCTTCATTTAACCACGTTTGTCCCACTGAGATCCAAGATCTCTTTTGCAAGAGACTGCCAAGACTGGCAGCACAGATAATTTCAATACATAATCACATTAATCATATAGAATGAAAAGAATACAAATAATCAAAATTCAAAATAATTCAAAATTAGTTAAAAGATTTTACAAGATTAGTCAAACATTTGCACTCAAATTAAACATTTGCACTCCTGAAGCCTAGATGTAATGGAATTTATCATGGATTTGAATACATTCAGAGATACCAGACTTTGGAGTTTCAGGTCTGATTGCAAGATGTTCCATGTACTCGGAGCAGAAAATCTAGAAGCTTTCTTCCCCATCTCTGTTCTGACCTTAGGAACAGTAAAATGATAAAAGTCCTGGTAAAAATGGAGACTGTAGGCCCTATTATTCAAGATTAAAAGAGAGGATATACAAGATGGAGTCATCTGAAGAATAGCCTTATAAATCAACATGTACCAATGGCTGAGCCGGCGTACATGTGAAGATGGCCAATTTACTTTACTGGATAAGACACAATGATGAGTTGGAGCTCCACAGTTCGTAATAAACCTCAGAGCACCATGATACACACTATCCAGCATGTGGAGGCATTAAACATTCTCATGTATAACACATCACTGTAATCAATAATCGAAAGAAATGTTGACTCCACTAGTTTTTGTTTGTGAAGTGGAGTTTTAAAGCGTGTCCCACATGTCAGTCAGGTCAGCCTCTGATTCACAAGTCTTGTAAAGGTAACATTTTATCTACAGAAACTTCATGTCCCATTCAGGTCCAAAATGGGCTTTTTTGGTTTCTGGTACTTCTACAGGCTGCCTCAAGTGGACACTCAAAGAACTACAGTTTTTAGCGCTACTGCATCAGCTTCATTTCTTAAGACTGGAGAATGCTGCTTGGCCTCAAAGCGAGGAGTTCATAATACTGTTGTATAATTATAGACTAAGATGATGAGCGAAAGTATGTTAAAGATAATATTTCCAGTCTGTTAACTGCCACACTTGTACTTGTTAAGAGAGGAACCAGTGATCAAGGCTTCAGTCTACAGTATGTTGCCTAAAATGGCCCCATGGGGTCGGACTATGCCATTAAATGACTCAGTGTAAAAGTCTGAAATGCCTTAAAACATTTGGCATTTGATTTATTACTATTATAAAGACACTAATAATTAATGAGTAATTGTGAATTGAATGATATAATATTGATAGATATTCAATAAGAAAATATAATCAGCACAAGTTTAAGTAGTGTTTGATTAGTGTCTCTGTTTACCAGTTCAGCTCTCTGAATGTATTTGTGCATTTTTAGTTATGCTCCTTGATATCTGAAATGATGTTATATCATTTTAAAGATCCCCCACAGTCAAATCAAGTTTTGTTCATCAATATATACATATATTGCATAAAGAGGAACACTCACCCAACAAAGTAGGTGATGATGAGGAGTTGCACAACGCGGTTGATGATGCCGATGGTCCAACTCTTCACGACCACCGACTTGGTGGTTTCATAGGTAAAGAAATCAGTGATACAGGACCACATCCTCACGGTGTCCGAGTGTTGAGATAAGAAAAAAAGAAAGTAGTCTGTGTTGATATGTGGTGCAAAGACGCTTCCTTTATCTGAAGATAGAAACAGATAAAAACAAATTCTCGAAAAAAAAAACGTACAAAAAAACAGATCCAGATGCTGTCTGTCAGTCTGCTCTGAAAAGGATCCAGATTCAAAAGACCTCAAAGCTCCAGAGACCCAGATCTTCATCTGCAGCTTTCTTCCTGTAACTTCAGCCTTTATGTGTCAGCATGACAAACATGTAGACAAGTGAACAACTCCACCTCTCTCTGTCTTTATCTTTATCTCCCTCTTTCTCCCCCATCCCCCTGCTACTTCTTCCCATCCGCCTGTCTATCTCCTGTTTCCCCCTAAGTGACTCCTCAACCTCCAAACCCCACCCCTTCTCCTCACTGCAGCTCAGAGTAACATTGACAGTCACAGTCAAGAGTTTCGGTTGATTCAAAGGTTTAATCTGGATAAGAGAGAAGCAGATTTATACTTCCCTCTGCCCAGGACAGAGAAATGAGTTTACTTGTGTCACATTTCCAGGGGATAGCTGGATAGTTTCTATCTAGATCACTAAACTACAGATCACCAAATCCTCATCACCAGTGCTTTGAATGAGATGATGCACCACATACATACTATATACACAGTTGCTTTCAACTCAGTATTGTGTGTTTGATTTTGAAGGTATAGGCCCTTTTAGTGTCACCTTTGAAAATGACGAATGTGTGACATGTTCATTACCTGCACTCTTTGGCACCTGTAAACCTGGGACTGTCTCTTTGTCAACACCATGATCCCAAACTGACTCATGGGGATGGCTGTGGCTTTATCAATTGTAAGGTTGGGGGTTCGATCCCAGAGCTGGCCACATGCTAAAGTGTCCTTGGGCAAGACACTTGACCCCATCAGCCACTGCTGGCTCAGCCCAGAGCTGTGGGAATGAGATGAATCGAAAACTGATGGACTCTGTACAAAGCAGCCTCTGCCATCAGTGAGTGAATGTGGTGTGAATGGGTGATTGTGACATGTAATGTAAAAGAGCTTTGAGTGAACAGGAGACCAGAGATAGTGCTAAATGAACACAGTCCATTTGCCATTTCAGTCTGAATTTGAAAATGCGAGACGAGCTTCCTCAGATCCTCACAAAGGGGTGGACCCAGTTTTAATGAGGCGGTCTCGGAGCCACTTCAAACAGGTTTCAGCACATGAAGCTGTCATAAAGCTGAGTGCAACATTAAGCTGCTTCATTTATGTCGTTCTAGGCAGGGTCGTCAGTCAGACTGACAGCTTAAGATCATGGAGATGGAGCTTTGCAGATATACTGTGATGCCGTCATTTAGTCCCTCTACTTTAATGCTGTTTAAGAGATAGAAAACATGTATGATGAGAGAAAGTTGGGCTGCAGAGAGAGAAAGAAGGCCATGTGAAGGTTGGGGAAGGCAGCAGAGAGAGCCTCCTGTTGAGTATGGAACAAGCAAAGAGTTCAACTGAAAACCAGCTGCTGACCTATTAGATCTAAATTGTAAAAATGATCCATACCATTTAAATATTTCAGGTACTAAAACTATAGTGCTCTTTATTGCACTTGTATGTTGGCAAAGTTCTCTTACCGTAAACATATCTGTTTCATATCAAGCCATTTACAGAGAGGAGGAAGAGTGTGAGATACGTTCAAGCCTTCTACCTCTATGTGCTCCAGGGGGTCACTGATGGACGCACATTGCATTAGCTGGTGTAACAATGAAGGCAGACTGGGTTTATCCAAAGTCAGAGTTAATGAATTAATGCTTATCTAGATGACATCTTTGCTGACACATGAACATTTTTGGTTCACCCTGTCCATCTCTGTTAAATACTCAGCCTGACATGTCTATGCTTCCGGTTAGGCTAGTATTTTTTTCTTATGTAATAATGATTCTCATGGCTAGTGCTGGAGCGGGGTAAGCAGGAGAGATGGACATTTTTCACTAAAATGTTATTGTCATGGTCTGGAGTTTCACAAGAAAGGAAAGGACCCAAAATGCAGAACAACAAAGGATTTACTTAAAAAGACCAAATTAAAAAAACAACAAAAAGAGGAAATCCAAAAGGCGAAATCCACAAAAAAATCACTTGGGCAAAATCACAGGGAGCAACTGAGAACACAGGCATACATGCACACACGAACAAAAATGAACCAACAAGGACAGAGGGAAAGACAGGGACTATACACACACTGGGAAATTAGCAAAAGGTGAGGCAGACGAGACACAGGTGAAACTCGTGAGTGGTTTACGAAGGAGGGAAAACTAGAAAAGTAAAACCAGACTAGAAACACAAGGAATCAACTACTACAAAATAAAACAGGAAATAAACCCTGAAAACTGATCTAAAGAATAAAACAGAGAACAGGAGGGAAGTGGGGTCAAACACAAACTAAAAACTCACAAGACTGGACTACAGGGGAATGGGAACACTAGGAAAAATATTCAGAATTAACTCAAATGAAACCAGGAACACATCTGAACAGAACATATCATGACAGTTATTTTTGACCAAAGACACCCAAACTAGGACTTTACCGAAGGAAAAGTGGTTCTGAACAGGTTTAAATGTTTATGTCAGTATGTGAATGCCTCACTGCTCTGTGAGAGAGAGAGGTAATCCCTGTGCAAATGTCCATCATTTAAAATTTTACTGGGACGCAGGAGCACAAATCATAACACCAGAACTGTAAAATTTAAAATCAAACGTATGCTTTTAGTTCCCCCTGGCAAGCTAACCAATGCGTGCACAGGACAGGATCAGAAAAGAGATCATAAGTATTTATTCACAGGGGCACCAAAATCAACACAAACAGGCAGTTCCTTAAAGGAGCTTAAACTTCTGACAAACTGCTCCATAACTTCAGAAGAATCCACTTCACATCAGGGTCATTTTAGGACTTCTAGGCTTGTCGGCACTTAGACAACCAGCAGATTATTCCTACAAGGAACATTAAATCACTGAAGCCGTTTCATCCGTCATGTCAGAGGTCGACCACAGTGAGCGGATCAGGCATCATTCAGGACGAGCAGCTACCATCAGCCTCCACATCCGAACACAAGCCACAAACCAGATTCTAGGGATCCAGTTTCACACTAATCTAATCGCAGCTGACTTCAGTCTGATGTCAGTCAGACTCTCTGGATGCCTCCATTAAACAACAGTCACTTATGAGCAGCCAGTAATGCATGCTATTGGACAAGAACCAGGAAATGGTGGAAGTGTCCTTCATCATTTGTTTCTTTTTCTTTCTTTGAGGGCAGGTGCAGAAGGGGAGAAGAATGAAGAGGTAGAGGAATAAAGTAGAGAAGAGCGAGGTTGGGTAAAGGATGGAAGGAACAGAGGAGGAGGAGAGAGTGTGAACAGGTGAGCCATGAGAAGCAAGGACTGGGATAAGAGCATGTTTACAGCACACAGCGTAACAGGATGCTGTTTCTGCTGCAGCAGGGTCGCCAGTCAGACTGACGACAGAAAGATTGACAAAGTACCTGCCATTAAATAAAACCCTGAGACAAATCCTCACCAAGACCAGTACAGTCTAATAACAAGTCCAGCCAGAGGTCGAAGAACTTAAACGACTTAAGGTATCTTTAAAGATCTGCATGAAATCATGAATGCTGAGTGTGAAAATAATAAAAAAAATATATATCAAAGTGTCATTAGAAAGGACTGCATTAGTGGGAGGGCATGTATTTATGATAGACACTGCCAGTATCTTGGGATAATGATGAGAAGGACCTGTTTACACCTTCAGCCTTTCAGTCAAACTTTCTGAAAGAATAATGAAAGCCATTAAAATATGATAATATTTAATACAAACAATGGTTGTGACGATTGATAGCACTTTGAAACCAGTTGATGTTCTAGCTAATGAACAAAAAAAAAAAAAGAAAAGAAATGACTGTTTGTCTGCAGACACTGCAGGCAGCCTAGCAGTGTTTGAGCAGCTTCAGTGATAACACGGTAACTGTTAGATCACTTGTCATTTAGTAAAGGACGGGGGTTCGGTATAAAATCTGTGGTTATGTTGAGAATTGAGGGCTTTAAATCTCGTGAAGAAGTAAAGAACTTTGGTTTTGTGTATGTTTTGGCGCCCCCTGTGGACAAAGCCATCTTTACTCACCCTGTCCTCTGCTTTATTTTGTCGTGTCTTCTGACAAAAAAGACCCACTGCTGACTTTTGACAGTCGAATGTCATTTTTCATTGACAGTCAAATCATTTAAGTGGATATTTGGTGCTATAAATGCAGATATAGGCTTTTCCTTAGCAGCTCCACTGACAGTCTATTACACAGGTTAAAGGCAGTAAAAAATTGCAGTAAAAAAAAAACAAACTTTGTTTTACTGCACATGCACTTGCTTACTTTAGTGTATAACAAAAATGTCTGAATATAAATTTCATTCTTTTAAATATATAAATATATATAATGCATTTGACCGAAATATGTCATGTTCTGAAATCTCAAGAATATTCAGATGCGTTTATTTATTTATTTATTTTTTAATTTCATGATTGAGTTAAAAAAAAATGTACAAGAAACAGCTTTCTGTAGACTTTTCCGTAGACTCATCTGTGATAGCTGGGGACTTTAACTGTTGTCTAAATCCTCACCTTGATAGACCAAATAAGCCAATGCAGTCTAAAATAGGGTAGGCTTAGTCCTTCTTGGGCTGCTGCAGGGATATACAGTACATTTCATTGATATATGGAGGACTCTCCAACTCAAAGAAAAGTGTGATTCATTCTATTCATAAGTGCACAGGTCATCCTCTAAAATTGATTACTTGTTCATTTCTGAATATGCCCTCCAAACAGTACTAACTTGCTGTATTGGAAATATTTTGATAAGTGATCATGCAGCAGTGTTCTTAGTGTCCAGTGCTGTACAGTGCCCTAGGACACATCGGCGCCTTCTCAATTACCTTATTAAAAATCCAAGTTTTATACAGTACTTTGCTGAACAGTTTGATTATTTCATTGCAGAGAATAACACTCCTGATGATGTCCCTCAACTTAATGTGGGAGGCCACAAAAGCGATTGTGCATGGATTGACAATATCATTCTCGGCCAATCTTAAGAAAAAACTGATGGCTAAGCAGCAAAATCTTGGACAGAGTTGCAGAGTGATTTTAATATATTCTTTCAGAGGATTTAAGACTCCAGATTGTTGCTACCACAGTAGTTTTAGATATTCTTTTATCAAAAAAGGCGCAGAAATCTCTACTCTTTGTGAAGCACAGGATGTATGAATTGGGGAACAAGTCCAACAAATATTTGTCAAACTTAGTGAAGAATAAAGCTGGCACTCAGGCTATTCCATTTAAAAAAGACAAAACTGAAAAAAATATATAAAATAAGAAAGACATTAATACCTAATTTATTTTATGAAAGCCTGTACAACTCTGACTCAGACTGTAACTCTGACTGGTTGATGCATAAATTCCACTCCAATGTTAAAACAGCTCTATAAAACATTTTGTGACTTGTTAATAAGTCCTCTGCTTAAAATTTTATAATATTCCTTTGAATCTTGGGCCATCCTGAACCATGCGATGGATGCCAATAGCCTATCTCCCTAATTCTTTAGAAAGGCAAACCAGCCCATGACTGTGCCTCTTATAGACCTGCTGTTTTGCGGGATATAGCCAGAAATTACTTGCCAAAATATTACACTAGGAGACCTGAAGGCATCCTTTCTGATCTTTTTTCAGTGGACCAGAGTGGTTTTATTCTGGGGTGCAGTCTTGTAATCTCTCTTGACGCAGAGATAGCCTTTGACAGAAATGGCAGGTGATATTAACGGGGGGCCGCCAGGAATACAATTTCTGTGACAGTTTTATGAATGGATATAACAGTTCTGAGCTGCCTCACAACCATCAGTCATCACAACTGGTCTAAGATCCCCTTCCTTTTACAGTCAGACGTGGTTGTAGACAAGGTTGCCCTGCCTCACCGCTGTTAGCTCTGGCAATCCAGCCTCTGGCAGACCTTGAAGGTAAACTATTGTGAACTATTGTGTAGGCTGGCGGGGTTTACATTCAATGATGATGGTGTTAGATATATCTTTACTGCGTCTGAGACCATGATATTTTCTGTTATAGAATGGATGATTCATCTGGTCTGATATTGTCAGAAAAGCGAATACAGCAGAGTGCTGCTTCCAGCACCTCTCCTGATCCTTGTGCTGGGGAGCCGCCGGAGTCCACTTATGTGAAGTTAAAGGTAAACTATTCTATAGGCTGGGAGGGTTTTCATTCAACGTTGATTGTATTAAATATATCTTTGCCTCTTGTGAGACCATGAAATGTTTATGTTGTGAAGCAGAGGGTCAAATGGTGCGATATTGTTGAAAGAAAAGCAAACACAGAAAGCAGATAGAAGTGACTCACTAGTGTCAGGCTTAGAGGTTGGCCCGATACACCATAAAATTTCTTTGTATTGTGATGATGTTCTGCTGTATCAGCCAGGCTGAAATATCTGTGATTAGTGCAGTGGAGAAAATGAACTAGAGTCCATTTTCAGGCTATAGGATGAACTTGCTCTGCTCTTTTTGGTTGGTCTTCATCTGGGTTGGTTTATTTAGAAATACACATCACACCATCAATCGCTGGTCTGTATAAAGCAAACTTTGTGCCCCTTGTTTGTAAGATTGAGCAAGATCTGTCTCGGTGGACAGCCCTGCCTTTATCTCTTTTGGGAAGATCTTTTCATGATGACTTCCACGCTTATTGTATCCATTTCAAATTATTTCAAATCACCCTCTGTTCTTAACGGCTGTTCTCTTGGCTTCACTTGTAGAGAGCTATCATGCATCTCTTGTCAGACCCTCCTCTCTCTGTTGATCCCTCTCTCCTCTCACCTAGCTTCGTTGTTTGTTTCTGATGTCAGAGTCGTAGACTCACATCATTTAAGGATTCACTCAAACGTCCGACACTTCTCTGTTTTTCCCCCCAGTATAAAGAAGATGCTATGAAGTGTTTATGTCGGTGATGTAAACGCTGTAAAATGGCCAAGCTTTCATTAATCATAAGAACATTATTCACATTATGTTCCTCTAATTTGATCTCAGAATGGATGAAGAGAAAAGCCCACATGCATCACTATCTATTATGTAGCCCATAAGAAGTTTTGCTCAAACCTAAAGTTTAGGAAAGTCAGCTACATTAAAGTTTTTGTACACAGTCTGTATTTGTTCTTAAAATCCTGGTCTAAGATCTGAAACATTAATATAAAGCACAAGTTTGACCTTCAAAAGAACAGAAACATCTTCAAGTACCTTCTTTAACCTGTCCAAGTATCTTAAGTTTAGGTTTCAGTCTTTCACCAGATCTGAAAATGAAACTCACTTAAGCTAATGAACTGGGATGCATTATTTGGACTGTCACATAAATGTTTATTTAGTGACAGAAATACTCAGACTAAGGATTCTCAGTTGTCTATGGGCAGCTTGAAGCAGCAGCAGCAGCAGATCCTTCTGAACCACTTCAAGATCCTTCTGGTTCTGGGTTTTTTGGACCGGAACCTGCATGGGCTAATTTGGAGTCTGAAGAACTGTGATAGGAGCTTCAGGTGGCAGGGTAACAGGAGGTAATGGAGTTGGCACCATCAGAGTCTGGGTTGATGGTTCTTTCCTGGTTTCTGGCTCCTCAATGTTGTCCTCACCCTCCAGGTCTGAAACCAGGACTGGAGGTTCAGCTGGCAGGATGACAGAGGAAAGATCAGTCTGGATAGACTCAGAGAGTAGTGGAGACTCTGTTGAAGTAGTCTGGCTGACGATGGATGGCTCATCCGGATCCACAGCAGGGGATGGTGTTGAATTCATCCTAGCAAGGTTTCAGCAGGAGTCAGGATCGGTGTGGCCTGGCTGATATTTGCCGGCTCCTGATTGGCTGTAATTGCTGGAGGTTGATCAGCTGCTTGGCCTGTTTGAGTCTGAGGCTCAAACAGCTGACAGCTGGTGATGATGTCGAGCACCTCCACCTCAAAGCAGTTCACCTTCCTCCTCAGATGGTCTGGATTGTTGAGGACAGAGTGAGGGTAAATCTGACTTCTGCCAAGTATGATGGACATTAAACTACAATTATAAGATGTTTTCAGATGAAATTACAATCAGCCTCCAACATTTTTGCTTCATTCAGAAATGAAGAAATCATGA